TCAGCGAGTGTTGCTGTGCGCCACGGCGTAGCTGTGGCGGGTTCCACTTGTTTTGTGAAATTTGCTACGGATTCATCAGTACCTGTGGACCTATTCGTCAGCATAGTGCGATCTGGGGAAAGAGCGTCAGACCCAATGTCAGCCACAAGTTTTTTCTCCTATACAAAAAATGTATATGGACTGGGGGCACGCTCTTGATACAGTCAAAACGTTGTAGGTCTCTGAATGTATGAGGCCACAATAGCAATCCCGATATGTGCAGAACCCTGCATGGGAGGACGGGGCCTTAATGTTCCCTCTCCAGCTTGCTGTCGAAGAAATGTCCACCACAGTACAGTGCAAAGACGTGAATGTATACAAGTTGTCTTTCCAGCCCCATACAGTCAAGGCGATGAACGTCTCGTTCCACTGAAGAGTGCTGGTGGTGGCTGCAATCATGTTATATTTCCTACGTGCTGAATTTTTTATTTTTTTTTGGGGGGAGTTTTGCTTCTCCTGCCCGAAGCTGTGCCGACCCTTTGGGGGCACCTTCCGGCATGCTCGGAGGTAGAAAAAAAGGAAGAGAAAGGTACTGGTCCAAAGCAGTCGAACACCCAGTCGATCATTCTGTTTATAACTGCTACAGTAACAGCACAGGCACATGGGTTCGTTCACAAGTTGGGGAAGCGCAGCTGGTTGCTTGTGCGATAGTGAAACTTGGACGGAGAGCAGCGGTTGAGGAAGAAGAAAGTGCGTTGACCACCATAGCTAAAGTTAGGTCGGAGGTGGAGGAGCCCATAGCAGTAAGTACGGGGATTGGAGCAGAGCGGGCGTATTCAGGGATAACGATCCTAGTAGGATTGAGCAAGAAAGTAAGGCAAGCGATACAAGTTCGGAACGAAGTGAGGTTGAGCGATAGAAGTCTACACACAGAGAGAGAGAGAGAGAGAGAGAGAGAGAGAGGTGAGTGGGAAGGAGAGTCGGGTACTTACCAGAGGTGTATTCAGGGATAGCAATCCTAGTAGAAGAGAGCAGAGAGTAAGGCGAGCGTTACAAGTTCGGAACGAAGTGAGGTTGAACTATAGAAGAGAGAGAGAGAGAGAGAGAGAGAGAGAGAGAGAGAGAGAGAGAGAGAGAGAGAGAGTCCGGTATTTACCAGAGGGGATTGTTGATGAGTTCGGTCAAAGACGTCGGATACCTGAACTCTTTCTTTATATTATATTATAATTGAGTTAAGTTTTCTGTCGCGCTTATTTGGTTTTCATGTTGTGATTCCGTGTGAATGTTCTGCCTATTCGGGGTTGAGTGTCGGGAGGTCCATTGCAGAAGAGTCCTCCCTTTCTCACGGAACCAGATACTAACCAGAGTAAAGGCGTCCTCTTGAGCTGTGATGGAGGAGTGACCTGAAGACGAAGTCCAGTGGTGACACTCAGGTGAGTCGACAGGTAAGTCTCCACACTCCTGGCCTCCGCCCTGATCCTCCTATTTCCGCTATCTCTAGCCTAGCTCCTCTACGATCCAGTGATGCTCCATCTGCATGCGAAGAATGAGGCTGGCCCAGCTGTATATAGTGCTGGGCCTACTGGATCCTACCACTGTCTTCATCCTGGGCTGTTTGGTCATAGTGCCTATCGACAGTCGAGGATGCAGGCCCAAATCCTTGTCATGAAATCCTGGCCTCAAAATGGCCTGCCTGGATCCCAATCGGACGCTCAGGGTCCTCTGCTGCGTTGCAGAGGTGTCTTCACTACAGGACAGGGCTGGACCTAAACGTGGTTCTGCCTGAAATGGAAAACAGGGCTGGACCAAAACGTGGTTCCACCTGAAGTGGGAAACGAAGCCTCAGAGCAGACAAACCTGAAACAGACAAAAATGAACTCAGAACAGACAAAGGACTGAGTTGAAAAAATATATATGTATACATGTGTATATGTGCAAGTGCTCCGCTTTGGCGGCAGATGGCTGTGTGGGCACTTGGCGCTGTGGATGGATGTTTTGTCTGATGTGGAGGAAATGAGAAAGAGAATTTGGGGTGCTTTAACAACACACTTTCCGGTCTTGCTAGCTCTCTGTTTTGGCAGATTTGAGCGGCTTGGACCGGGTTCGTACTAGCGAGCTATTCTCTCTTTTTGTGGTTGGATATGTCGTGTCGGTTTTGCTGATTATACGAGGCCTAATTCTTTGCCCTACTTCAGAGCATGGGCTGTTTGGATGCTTATGGGTGGCCACAAGTTCTCTTTGGGGGGAATGTATGTTTTGTTGGCCAGCATGGAAGGCTTTCCCAGTTTTCTTGGACCCTTAGCAGAGGGGTCGGTGCGTTCTTGCCGGAGGAGTCTTCTGTCTTAGGTAAGTTGTCTCTTATCTTCTTCCTCCTCTTTGGCAGTGACGGGAGTGTGTAGTTTGAGAGGAATGTCTTGAATGCCAATGCTGTTATATTTGTTTGTTTTTGGTAAATGAGTATTTGGTTTTGTGGGCGGATGCGGAAGGCTCTCCAAGTTTTTCCGGACCTTCGAGGGGGTCGGGTCAGTGCCTTCTTGCTGGAGTAGTCTTCTGTCTTAAGTAAGTTGCATTCTGCTCTCCATCCCCTTTTGGAGTTTGAAAAAATATATATGTATACATGTGTATATGTGGAAGTGTGCCGCTTTGGCGGCAGATGGGTGTGTGAGCACTTGGCGCTGTGGATTTATGTTTTGTCTGATATGGAGGGAATGAGAGAGAGAATTTGGGGTGCTTTAAAACGTAGAGCCTTTAGCCGGTGATGAACTGTAGGTGTCTCAAAGAAGAACAGCTACGGCTGGCAGCAGACCTCCAGGATATGGTGCAAGGTATCTGAGGCCCAGGTGAGCACCATGTAGAGAATCAGTAAAAGTGAAACCCAATACTGGAGTATTTTTCAGGACTGACAAACATGTGGACGGCCTGCTTTGGTGAGCACGCAGCAACGAGCGGTGTCTGATTTGTCTGTAATCTGTTTTGCTTGCTGCTCATCCCAATGCATTGCCTTTGTTTGTTGGGGGGCATTGATTTTGCGCAGAGCTTGGCTGCTGGATGATGACGGGAGAGCGTCAGGCTGTTCGGATACGAGTGAAGTATTTGAAATCAATCCTCAGTCAAGACGCTCGGTTCTTTGACCTTCATGCAAGGCGCGAGGAGGTTGTCAACACTTTAGCCAATGACATTATGAAGATCAACGAGTCCATTGGGGAAAATGTATGCTTGATTGTTTTTGCAATTTCTTCTTCTCCTCTTCCTTCTTGTTTTTATTTTGAGGGGGTAAAGCTTGGTCAAGATCAGGATAAATCTCAGCACGACCAGGAGAATGCTGGTGAAGGATATGGGTATCAGAAAATAAGAAATGAAGAAAGACAAATGTTAGGATCCTACATCATTCATATGCAAAACGCAGCTGTGAGACCTCTCTTCTCTCCAGGTCTTATTCAACCCCCTCCTCATACAATACTGGAGTAAATGCAATAATAAGTGAATGAGTGAACAAGAAGCATATCCGAGTACTCCCCGTTAGTGTCAGCGTTTAAAGGGCTTCCCATTTAGCCTCGTTCTTCTCTCTCCTCTCTTAGTGGCAATCTGCATCCCTGCAACCAGTGGATGCTCAAAGTACCACAAAACTACTAATGTGCATCTGCTGACTCATGCCCCTATAGCCACACTGCCAGCTGAAGTCCATGGCCAGCAGATTCCCCCACAGGGACCGTCTAGATGCAGCACCAACCAAGGAAGTGGAGATGAAGGTCCACCATAGCCAAATCTAAGTCTCTCATATCACTTCCCTCCTTCCTCTTCCCTTCTGGATCGCCTAGCTTGAGGTACTTCTCCCTCTACCTCCATAGCCTGGGTTTACACCCTTCTACTACTACTACATAGCCATGGAGGTCTTCCTGTCCACCCTCCAGCTCCTCCGCTTCAGCCAGAGCTCCACCTATTTCACCCTCTCGGCAGATCAGCAGCAAGTTTCCAGGCAAATGTGCAGGCCAACTCATTACACTCAGCACTAATCCCTGTTCTCTACCACTAGGCTGCTCCTGATCTGCCCAGAGGGTGACATAGGTGGAGCTCTCGCTGAAGCGGAGGAGCTGGAGGGTGGACAGGAAGACCTCCATGGCTATGTAGTAGTAGAAGGGTGTAGACCCAGGCTATGGAGGTAGATGAAGAAGTACCTCAAGCTAGGCTATCAAGAAGGGAAGAGGAAGGAGGGAAGTGATATGAGAGACTTCCACCTTCTAACCCGGCCTCCAATCTGGGCCGTCCGATTGGCCCAGGATCCCGTGGTCCGCTGAGAGGCTGTGTGACAAAGCTCTGGCCAGGCTTCAAAAACAAGCGGTCGAAAACTTGAAATTCGGCCAGGCTTCAAAAGACAAGATGCTGATCAGACAACCTGACATAAAACAAATACCATACTGATGCCAACAAAATATGCAGGTGTGAAAAACATCACAAACAGAATAAAACTGAAAACAAATACTATACCCATGCCAACAAATATGCAGGAGTAAAGAACAAGGCAAAGTTGGCAAACTGAATAAAGCTGAACTGGCAACCAGGAGATTACCCACATGTGTGAACTCCCTCACTTAGGCCCTTGTGATTGCCCAGGCCCTCTCAGCCGGCCGTAAGTCTTGAGAAGGCCCACGAGGATGAGGGGCCTGCCATAAAAAATGTCAGGGCCCCCAGGCCCGGTGTTCCGAGGCCCCAGCATGCCACATGCAGACTGCTATGGACATCCTGGCTTGGGACTTTATTTTGCCGTCATGAGAACAATGAGAGTGCTGAAATCGACCAATCCATTGATGATGTAGATGACTACTAGTAAAAGACGAGCATGTTGACACTGAAGTCGTTGATTTTGGTAGTGATGACTAAGTGGAGTCACGATCTATTGTAGGCTGTCTTAGCCTGGTTATGAAATTGACCAGCTTCCTGCTAACCTGATAATACCTAGCACCAGCTGGACGTGGTCCTCAAGGCCAGGCTCCACCTGTGCTGTTTGTGCTTTGCAAGAACACAATTGGCCGTGAATATGACTAGATTTGCGCTCGCTAATTATGGGCATAGTGTCATCACAAGTTCTTATCATCATAAGCCCAGTATTTGCAATCACTTACAGATCTGATTAATCCATCGTGGACAGATCTGATCAATCCATCACGGTTGCCAAAAACAGATTCACATCTCTCAACATTGGTAGACGATTGTCACACCCACTCCGATCATTGCATCCTTGCATCATCTTCTTAAACAGTCGTCATGGTAAGCCCACCATCGTCAATCACAGATCTGATTGATCCACCAACGTCACACAAAGTTCCTGACCATTGCGTCATTATCAAACACACTGCGATTGCCAGATATTGTTTCTCATCACCATTTGAACTCAGCTGTGACAGAGATGTTGCGGCGCTTCCCCATTCGTTCAGGTTCTGCTAATTCCATTCTAATGTTTATTGTCTCGGCTTCTCAACTCAAGTTCTGACCATCATATGGTCACCACACCTGGGCCCTGCAACTGGAGAATGCACACTCGTCCACTCCAATGCCAAAACTCAAATGCAGAAACACCATCACATCTGCAAAGTATGACAATGCCAGCAGAGTGGCTGCTGGCTGTGTTCACTGCTGATCCACCCGAATTTGGATGATCGTTAACCTGTGAAGGTGCAGGTCACTGCGATCTCAGTTGCTGAAACAACAGCCCCAAATCCATGTGCCTGTAAGCCTCCCCCGTTCTGTTTGCATGGTGTTGGCTCTCAAATTGTGCTGTTCTCACAACAAGTGACAGGGATTTTTGCCTATCCCCATTTACTCGGATATTTGCATCGCCCATGGTAACTGGGATATTTTGCATCACTTCTTCCCTCCTTTAGGCAAGTACAAGCCTTCACAGTGAACTAGCAGGCCCTTGCAAGGAGTTGCAGGTCTAGGGTACACAAGAGCAGTTTGAGCTCACTGCTGATCCACCCGAGTTTGGATGATGGTGAAGGTGCAGGTCACTGCGGCCTCAGTTGCTGAAACAACAGCCTCAAATCCATGTGCCTGTAAGCCTCCCGCATTCTGTTTGCATGGTGTTGGCTCTCAAACTGTGCTGTTCTCACAACAGGTGACAGGGATGTTTGCCTATCCCCATTTACTGGGATATTTGCATCGCCCATGGTAACTGGGATATTTTGCATCACTTCTTACCTCCTTTAGGCAAGTACAAGCCTTCACAGTGAACTAGCAGGCCCTTGCAAAGAGTTGCAGGTCTAGGGTACACAAGAGCAGTTTGAGCTGTGACTTGCGGAAGCCTGTCTTGCGCCACGCCTTCTACAGAAGCAACTCTCTTAAATTGTTGTGCCTGTCACAACAGGTGACAGGGATGTTTGCCTATCCCCATTTACTGGGATATTTGCATCGCCCCTGGGAACTGGGATATTTTGCATCACTTCTTACCTCCTTTAGGCAAGTACAAGCCTTACAGTGAACTAGCAGGCCCTTGCAAGGAGTTGCAGGTCTAGGGTACACAAGAGCGGTTTGAGCTGTGACTTGCGGAAGCCTGTCTGGCGCCGCACCTTCTACAGAAGCAACTCTCTTAAATTGTTGTGCCTGTGGGCCTAGCTAAGGCTGAAGGTTCTGCAGATCAAACCATGGGGAGAGAGGAAGTGGTGAACCCTTCGATTTCGCACATGTGAAGGTCACTTGAAGATCACGTAGATGTCACAAGCAAGAGTAAGCTCATTGCGAAACCATGAATATATCAACAGTTCTCTCGCTGAACCGCCTAAAGTGTGAATGTACGCAAAGTCATGTAAATGCATGCGTATGTGGATGTGGATGTGGATGTAAATGTATATATATAGTCAAACAAAGAATGTCAATGTGAATGTGGATGTGAATGTGAATGAGACTGTATGTATGTGTATTCGTATGTGAACTAGCGCCGGTCTCCGGATGGACCGGGGGGGCTTCCCTTGACCGGGAGCCTGCCAGTCAGACAGGGCGGTCCATCCGCCCGGCAGGGCCCCGGTTCAACCCAGCGCATCCCACTTGGGGAGGGGGCACCGGGAAGGCACGGTGTAGGGCCCCACCTTGTTAGACTTTTGAGCCTGAGTCGATCCTTCTGCGGGTCCCACTTGGCTCGGCTCACGCTCATGCTCAGGTTGCGGAGCCATTTGTCACGGTGTTGGGCGGCCGCAACCCAGTCGGCCACCCGGAATACAACGGATTGGGCCTTGGGCTAAGAGCCTAGGGAGGAATCGATCGGGACTTTCATTGGACCCGTCGGGAGAAATTAGGGGTCGGAAAAGGATCCCTAAAATTTCCCTCGTCGACTATTAAAACGGACCCTTGGAATTAACATGGTGAACAGCCGCGCCTGGCGGGCCTAGCACTTATCATTTTTGTCCGATCCGAGGCTATTCCCGAAGCGGTCGGCCATGGTACGGAGGCGCGGTAGCAGGCCTCGACGCGTCGTTTTCACACTAAGTAATTGACGAGGGAATGAACCCTCAATTTTTATTAGTTCTAACGACAAAATTAAAATTTGGAAAAAGAATTAAAAATAATAAAAAGGAAGAAAACTAATGGATATTTGTTAATTAATTACATTTCTTCGGAATTTAGTAATTTACCCTTAATGAAGTTGTCCTCAATTTTTATCAATTTTAATGACAGTATTAAAAATGTGGGGAAAGAAAAGAAAACCAATGATTATTTATTATTTGATCAAATTTTATTAAATTTATTCTTGGTGAATTTTAGCCTGGGATTATTTGCTTACCCCGAGTCAAACGCTTCGTTCGAGTTCCCGATAATTGCGAATCCTCACCTGATTTGCCTGATTTTACCCTCGCCATAATCTGGGTGTTTTGAGTAAGCAGGGCCGGTCTTTGGGTTACGGTGACATGGCTGGTTGGGGGCTACTACTGGTACTACTACGGGACGGACTACGCGGCCTTGTTATTTTGGTACGGACACTGGTTTGGAGCGAGTGCGACCCACCGGTTCAGAGATGCTGCGGTACAGTCATTTGTCTGGTATTGGCATGGTGTATTTGCGAATTGGCCTGGTACGACTACCGGTTTGGAGCTGGTACGGTGCGGCCATTTGTTTGGTATTGACGTGACGGCACAGCACGGTATTCCGGACTGGTATGGTACGGTTGCCGGTCTGGAACAAGGATGGTACACAGGTCCTGGACAGGTACAGCTCTCTGCAGT